TCCCGCCGTCGCCTCCTACATAAAGGACAAGAAATCGGCCAAGGAAACTTGGGACCAATTGTCTTCCCTCTATTCGTCTATGTCCCTCGGCGCCATTTACAATGAGCTGCGGGGGGCCTTATCGACGAAGATTCCGGCCGATCAGCACCCTGCTCCAGCCTTCGCGAAGATATCCAAACATTTCGACACTCTGGAAGCGGCCAAGGTCAAGATTCCCGCGCTTATTGAAGGTCTAATTTGCCTTTATGCACTCCCCAGCCGCTATGAGAACATTGCGCAGATGCTGGTCCAAGCTACCTCTGCTGACAACATGGGCATAGGTGCGGTACGGGAAGCAGTTACCACTGCTTGGGACCAGTCTCAAGGCAAGAAGCCTGAGAAACTCGGTGCGCACAAGATCTCGGCGGTGAAGCGTAAGCCGGGCGATCCCTCCTTTTCTTCGCAGCAGCAGCAGCGCCCTCAGGGCAGCAGCAGCAATGCGCGAGATGGGAAGAGGTGCCCTTATCGCGGCAAGCGCGCAGGCAAGAAGCGTCAAGGGCAAAACCACGATCACCACCATGCCCACGACGTCTTGATCGCCTCAACCGTCTCCCTTCCTCCTCCGACCATCGCTCACGTCCTTGACATTGCGCCTACTGGCAGCAAGACTCGGACGGTCAAAGAGCAAGGTCCGTTCCACCCGCCTCCTTCGGCGGATACCAGTCACTACAACAACAAGAGGATCAAGAAAGCCTTCAAGCTCGCGCGGGACCTCGACATAAGTCCCACCGAAGAAGATATCAAGGTCTTGGACGCTCTTGTCGGGCAAGTCGATCCGGACCCGGATATTGACATGGAGGACGCCGACTCTGTCGCCTCCAGCCGTGCGTCCGAGCGTGCTCGTTTTGAAGGAGTCGCTCGCGCGGATGACGCTGCGGACAGCGACCACGATGACAACCAGTCTATCGACTGGGGTAGTGACAAGGACCAGGGGGAGACTGTCAGTCTCGGCGACAAGGAAGACCTGGACCGCACTATTGCGGAGGCTGCTGGCTTCGACCAGAATGCCTTTATTGACGAGCACTACTCGTACGTGCCATCTTCCCCTTTACAGGACTCCACTGACGCGCCATCACAGTTAGGGCAGCGTAGTGTAGATCTTAATTTGAGTCCTGTAACGTTAGCATTAATATATTGCACTCATGCGCAAACTTATGCTGCGTGTGCAAAATGTAAGGGGAAAGATAAGGCACAACAGGGTAACACCTGGATTCTCGATTCGGGGGCTTCTCGACATTTCACTTTTGACATGAGTGATTTTATCGACTTTGAGGAATTTAAGCAACCTGCGACTGCGTCTACTGCGAACGGGTTTGCACGAATACTCGGGTTTGGTACGACTGTCCTGAATTATTATATCAAGGACGTCGGGAACATAACCACTCGGTTATTTCCAGTATACTATATACCTGACCTGAATATTCGCCTCATGTCACTCGGAGTATTGCTCCAGGATAAATTAAAAGTGTCTGGCAATGACCGACACATAAGCCTATACGAAAAGGGATTGCGCGAACCTTTATTCAGGTTTTTACCGCGGCAGCCTGGCGACACTATCTACAGTGTCAGTACAATTCCTGCACCGGATGCGTACTCTATATTCCCAACGATCTATGCGGTCGATTATGGGATTATGCACCGTCGCATGGGACACCCCTCTAAGGAAGTCCTGCGGCAAGCTAGGGAACACACTAAAGGTTTCCCCACCAATCTGGAGTTTCCTCCGGAAGACCCAGTATGCCCTGGATGCGCGGAAGGCAAAATGCCTTCCAAGGCTTTCCCGCCATCCACTCTACGGGCAAAAGAACCGTTTGAGTTAATTCATTCGGATCTTAAGTCATTTCCCGTAGACTCCTACCATAAGTATCGGTACACAATTGTCTTCTTTGACGATTACACCTCCTATGGATGGGTCATGCATATGCGCTCCAAGGGTGCTGCAATTGCTAAGACTCGTCAATTCCTAGCCTACGTACAAAATCAATATGGCAGGAAAATTAAGGAGTGGATGTCCGATGCAGGGGGAGAGTATAAATCTGATGCATTCATCGAGATGCTCAGAGATGAGGGCATAAAAATCCGACAGAGCGCGCCTTATGCGCACCAACAGAATGGTCGCGCTGAGCGTTTTATTCGGACTATAATGGACAAAGCGCAGTCAATGCGGCTAGAATCCTGCTCACCTCCATCTTGGTGGGAATTTGCAGTAGACCATGCTGTTCATGTCTACAATCGGACCCCTTTGAAGCGCCATCAATGGCAGACTCCTTATGAGGTCCTGAACAAGGAAGCTCCTGACATCAAGCACTTACGTGTCTTTGGATGCGGAGCGTACGTCTACCTGCCAAAGGAAACCAG